GACAGTAAGAATTAGTACTGTACACAGAGTTTGTAACATTTATTAGTGCATCCCATTACAGAACATACAGATACAAGGAGATGCCATGCAGCAAAGGTTAAGACTTTAAACAGGCTTTTGTTTTGGTACAGTGTTATAGAGCTGCTCAGAGTGTATAAGATTGTTTCAGCTTTGATTGAGTTTACACGTATTTCTGCAGTGAAAAGGATGTTTGTGAAAAAGCAGTTAAACAGCTGCATTGATGAATAACTAATAGTGTCCCCTGACAAATTTTGTCTTTTGTTTGCCATTAGGTCAAATTTAAAGCAGTTACTTAGGAATCTCAAATTACCAAAAGGAAGATATAAAAAAAGTAGGATATGGGTGGGTGGCAAGAAGTACAACATTTCTCTCGCAGGCAATTTTCCTTTGAAACTAGAGAAAGTCAAGGAAAAATTAATTTTGAACCTGCAAATCATAAGACAATTGCATTCAATATAAGTGAAAATTACATTTGCATAATCAAATTGTCATTTTATACATAAAAAAGTCACTTAAGGTCATATTTTGATGCAATGAAATTGTGCAATGATGCCATTTGGTTAGAGAAAAATTATTAGATAACAACTTAAGTCACCAAGTAAAATAATGTTTGAGAGTCATCTTTAAGCTGATCTTTATGTATGATTCAATGATTAAAAATTTCAAAGAAGCTGCTTGTAGAATAGGTGTTTCTAAAAGAACTTCCTTGTTTCAAGCCCTTTTTCAACGTTGCGATGAAAACTGGATGTCCATGAAAGTGACATCCATAAATATGATGACGTTAGCACCAAATCGTTTTGTTTAAAAATACTGTGGTTTTTAATGGAGAACTATGGTTAAACTAAACGTTTCATGTTACATTATAATTTTGATTTTCATTAAACTCATGCAGTTGTTTGAATTATGGTTAAAAGATCATTGCATTCATTATTACTGGAATATGAGTCTTTTAGTAGTTGCTTACTTTGGGTACCCCCCTCAGTTTCGAACGGTGGATCTGCAGTTATGTCCTGATGATTTTTGAAACTTCAGTCCTTATATGTTTTGGCTATGCACATAAAATCCCGGAGTAGTTTACAGGGTTTGCAAATTCTATTGATGAGTGGAGTCAGTTTGACTTCTGCTTTACAAATTTTGGAGGCATTTTGGAATATTTGGAGTCAAGTTTCAGACTTGCCAGCACGTGGTCCTGGCATGTATACACTATCGTGAGGGATACACAAAGTAGCTGTGGCGGTCCGCCGACCTGGAAAGCTCAAATCCACTGGCGGTCATCGAGTAAACTTTGATTGTAATTTACCTGTTTACCCTCTTCCTGTTTTGTCGTATATAATTCTTTAATTTCGAAGACATAATTATGTTTACAACCTTTACAATTAACGTAAAGTGTATTTGTTACCGAAAATTTTCGGAGTCGAAGTGACTCCCTCAGTAACCTCAGTGGAGTCATCTGAACAATTTTGGAGTAAAATACGCCAAATTTGGTGTATTTGCGAACCCTGAGTTTATTTCAAAACTGGTCTTTTTTTCTGTTCTCATGTGGAATGGACCACATACAGGTGGAAAAGCAGTCTACAATTTATCTAAGATTAGGAATTTTTTTTCATGTACGTCATAAATTTTCTGTCCCTACAGTGACTCTTGATTACAAGGCCAGTTGCTACCTCTGCTGAACAAAAAAGAACAGGAGGATTTTATTCTTGGAGGCAAAGGATATGGCATGGAATTTTGTGCATTTTGTGATGCAATTAGGGTAACCATCAAGGTTTCTTGCATCCTTTATTTTAAATATTCTTCTTCAGCAATGATTAGATGGACTGAAAGAGCTAAATAATTATGTTGTTAAGCTAATTTTGCGACAGCTGATAAATAGTTTTGACTTGCAATTGTTATTAGAGGGCCACAAGATTACTAGTTTCTGTAACTATTCCGTGCTACCCTCTTTAAATAAAGTGTATTATTATTATTATTATTATTATTATTATTATTGTCAATTCTGTAATTTGAACAGCTACAGTAGCTGTTAACAGCAATTTTGCTCTCACGCCAGTAAAATTTAGTTAATGGAATGTGACACTATAGTTATCAGTAACCCTTCCATGGCGGTTCGTTTTTCAATGAAGCAGTTGTGTAGTCATAAGTTGTTAAGGTCAGCAAGCTCTAAGATACATTGTATTCTAGCGTAGAACTTTACAGCCTCGTCTTTGGCACGCTAGTACGATCCACAGCATTGGCCAATTTTTTCAAAACATTATTCGTGGCTAAGAGTTTGCACGTGCAATGCTAAGTTATCTTGTAGTGCAGCCTTTTCTACTGGCTATGCCATCAGACGTTTGTCTAGCTATAAAAGCCTAGAACAACTGTTCAGAGTTCACTTGGGTTCTGTTGTTCAGCAAGGTTAGTGCTCAGTACAGATATGTTATTCTTGTAAAATTTTTCCCTCCCTACACCCTCCCTTTGGAGATGAGGCTTGGGCTTTGTTTTGTGCTATGCCATGAAATAAACTAGGGACACACTTCGGCAGTGCGGTTAAGTCTGTGCAGCAACTTCCCCCAAGCTTGTTGGACGCGTTGCCGTTTAATATCACCTGCAAACCGATACTCTTGCCCCTCAAGCACTTGCTGTATTGCATTCGGCTTGTAGTGCTTGGGAGATGAATGAGGTTCTTTGGTCATGCCATCACCAGAAGTCGCACAGGCTAACCTAGCGCAAGGCAGTGCTCCCGCATTAATGCCAACTTGTAATTTTTTGTTTTACAATTTAGTTACTTCACGTTGAACATGATGGTAAAGGAGCAGAGACATTAATATCAGCTTTATTTTTCTTTTCAAGAATAAATTTTGACTTAAATTTATTGCTATTATTATTATTATTAATATTTGTATTGTTATATTATTTAGGCTTGTACATGCCATGGAGTTGAGGCAGATGAAACTTGTTTGGAATGTCTAAGATCAAAAGCTAACATTGGAAGGTGAGACTTATGAGGAGATACATGGTACTATCAGGTATATATGTGATAGTACATTGCAGATAATCATAATTTTCCTTCAATCTTTCAATCTTTTAATCTTTCTTTATTTCACATTATATAAGGCATATATACAAGTTTACGTAAGTAGGAGAACAAAGTAGCTTAATTTATATATATATTATCTAATTTAAGGATTTTTAGGAGTTTGAAATGGGGAGTAGCACTCTCCCTAGGGCTTACTGTACTTTGCGAAACAAAACCAAAGCGAAACGAAACTGAAACAAAATGAAACCAAAGTGAAACGTAAGCAGGTAAACATGCCGGTTGTCAGAGACGTCTGGAATGTGAGGTATGGTGTTAGACTATTTTATAGTGGCTGTATGCATAACTGGTTTGGCCATCAGCAAAAATCATCAAAATACAAAATTGAAGCCAGAGGGCCTGAAAATAGCATAAATATGCATGAGAGAGGCTGTGTAAACCAAAAACCCAAAACCAAAATATGGAAAATGTCCTCGTACCACCATGCCCTATACTAACAGTACTAAAGTTATTGCAGCGGGTGGGGGGTGGGGGTGGGGAAGAGGGGTTGGGCAAAGTACGTTAAAAAAATATTTGTGCAAGGTAAGATCTTATGAAAAAAATTACGCACGCCAAGTAGTCCTAAAGAATATTCCTCAAATTCATGCAAAGGGAATATTAACGAGAAAAATTCATGCGGCTCGAAAACTCCCCTATCCCATAATGGTTTGTCCCTTATCTTCTTCTTCAACCAGAAATGTCACGCCGATATAATTTTTTTTTCGCTGATTTACCTGTTTAAAAATTGTAAAGCAAGACGGTGCACTATACTTATCTGATTTTCTTGTTTGATTGCAGTTTTTATTTATAATATTTTTTGTTGCACTCCATGGACATCAAGATTCTAAAATTTAAATATATAACAAAGGTCGGGTGATTTTTTGTATTTGATTATGGTGAAGGTCGAGAGGCCACAGGTTGACATTTAGTGCCAGGAGCTTTCTTTGGCGGTCAAAGTTGTTGGTCACGATGTTTATTCTCTTCACAGGATTCTCTCTGGCTGGGATTCTCTGATAAGATCGAAAATTGTGGGCTTTAGACTTTGAAGTATTTTCCGGGCATTTAGCGACTTTCAGCGCTGTATGAAGAAGACGGCAGTAATTATTACCAGTATGCTTATTTAACTGCGGTAACTATCACCCTGGTAACATTTTTGGTTTGTTTTGTTTTGGTCATCTTTTGTTTCGATTTAGCAGTCTTGTTTCGTTTCGCAAACTACAGTTGGTTCGGTTTCATTTCATTTTGGTTTCGTTTCATTTCACAAAGTACAGTAAGCCTCTCTCTAGGATGTGCAAAGAAGATGAGGTGGAGACATTTGTTCTGCCTAATACGAAGACAATCTAATCTGGTTTTGCTGGCATATCCCCAAGGAACCGTAACTCAAATAGGGATATATTAAAGCATAATAAATTTGTTTCAGTATATTCAGATCTCTGTAATATCTTACTTTTGAAAGGATTCCTAAATTTTTAGCTAAGTTATTATTTACATGTTGTATATGTAGTTGCCAATTGAGATGTTTATCTAAATAAACTCCCAAAAACTTTATGTAATCTTTCTGTTCAGTACCAGTGATAATTATCTTTGGGTGGCAGCTAGATGATGAGACTAACATATAGTTGGTCTTTGCACTGTTAATGGGTAACCTATTTAAAGCACAGTAGTTATAAATTTGTTTAAGCTCTTGATTCATTCTTATTATATTTTATTATTTTATTATTTTAGGTGGTCAGACCTTCGAGATGATCTAAATTTCCTTCTTGAGGACAAATTGAGTAGCATCAATGTTTGCTCTCTCCTTTGTGAAATGAGAAATTGTGAGCAAATTCTGGGCTCATTGGGGTTATTTGCTTATCGTGTTGAAAGGCTAGACCAGTTAGATGAGGCATTGTCTGATTTTGGTCCTGAAATTGATGGGGGTTTCCAATTAGACAACAGAAACCATAGTAAACAGCAATAGAGAGGCAAAACATACAAGTTGCATCGTTTTCAGGTACTAAATGTTAAGGCAATGCAAAATATTTGTAGTGCACAGAGGTTTACCATTACTTAGATCCAGGACTTGCATCCGGGTTGATTAAAAGTGAGAGCATTCGCAAAGAGTGTTTTTACTGAGTGTTAGGCAGCCATGAATAAACCGTTTGCTTTTTAAGCCTTTGTGGCGGTTCTTCTATATTACAATATTTACCTTTGAATTTCATTGGCTCTTTTTTGTTAAAAATTATAGATTTTTTGTTTCTCAAAATTGTTTTCAAAGTGTCTTTGACACTTTAAAGTGTAATGTTTAAAACTGTAGAAGTCAAACATCAAGGTGATTTTTCTAGCACTGGACAGAAGCAAGAGCCGAATACAAACCTGAATGCACACTCTTTTAGTTGTGAATAGAGTAGTATAAGAAATGAGGGCATAGGCACAGTTAGATATTTGGATCTTTATAAGCACAGTTTTTGTTAAACTATATGTTTTCTTTTTTGTACAGTTTGGTATCAGCTTATATATTCACTTTTTGGTATAGGAGGGTGTAAGCACAATTTTTTGTTAAATTATGTGTTTTCTTTTTTGTACAGTTTGGTATTAGCCTCTATATTCACTTTTTGGTATATGAGGGTATAGGCACAGTTTTGGGTTTAACTATATTTTTTTTTATTTTGAACTTGACCTTGGAAATCCGGTTTGAACCGGTTTTGGGTGTTTGATTTTAATAATATTATCTAAGCCCAACCATATCACCATACTGAAATAGTTTGCGACTATATATTATTTTGGTTTTTGAGTCAGGATCTTGCGTATAGTTTTGATATTTATCCTCATTTGTGAATACAACATGAGAATGATTATTGGTTATTTTTTTGAGTCCAAAATCCAACCTGTCTATATTTGCTTTTGCAATCATATCCAATATTTTGTCGACTATTGGATTTTCAATTATTTTCTTTTTATAAGTATCTAAAATAGGACCTAAATAAAAGCTCTTACCGCATTTATAATCAGCTTTTTCTATTGCTTGCTCAAGCTCAATGATCATCCAGACCGGCTACTAATATGGAATCTGCATAGTATTTTTTCATGAGGTCTACTACTTTATAATGGAGGTCAGTCTCATTACCAATCATGATCATTTTATTCCAGGGACTATCAAAAAGTTTGTATTGGCCGTATTTACGGATGGATGAGAGGACTTGTTGAACTTCATTGGTATACGTTTTTTCTATCATACTTATCATATATATAGGTTACATAAATACTATCATACAGACCAAAAATATGATAAGTATGATAGATTAAAAAGTATGCTAGGCCTGAGGTGCCGTTTCAGCACATTAGACCTGAGGTCACGTTTCACGACCCCAACAAAACTGTCTTATTTGTTGACCCCTCGTTTCAGGGGAGCAACATTTGGGGTATTTTGTTGCCATCCACAGAAGAGTGTGTATAATATGCGAGCCAGCGAGCCAGCGAGTCATGCGAGTCAACATGTGAGTCAACATGCGAGCCATGCGAGTCATGCGAGTCAGCATAAAATAACTTTGTTTTTAACGTAAACTACTAAGTAACGTATCTATTCCAAAGGCAGGTCCTTTAAAATTCAGCTTCAGAAAAATTCGCCAACATACAAATTGAACGAGGTGAAACAATAACAAAGGTTTGAGAATGCGTTAAACAAAGGCTTAAAGGTTCTTCCTCGGTCACGTTTAATGAGTCACACCATATGTGGTAAGCCACGTGACCAGAACATAAAAAACACTCTTTAAAACCCTAGCCTGCGTTGCAGCCGGCCCACGTACTCGTCTAAACCATTTGTATAGTCCGTCTGCGAATTAGTGCACAAAAGTTCGTTCTAATATCCTGCAGAGTCGCAAGGACATATGTGAGCGTTTCTGATAGGCGGGTTTCTTACGGGTTTCTTACAAGCCGCACGATTGGCCTAATTTTTACGTGTGCCTCACGGTTGGGCGCAGTGACATGTCAATTAAAATTCACAGAAGGGAGTTGGCAGGGATCTTTTACAGTAATCGAAAGATCAGTTCGAACTTTAGAGCCGTCTTCTGAGCAAAAAAACGCTTTGAGATAATTCCTTCAAGGCCAAAATTTGCTAGTGAATTTGCCGGCTGGTTTCCCAGCGTCTTCCAATCGCTGCAGATGTACTATTGCGTATTCTGTAATCTAGCCGACAGTTCTAGAGTCAAAACAAACGAAGAAATCATCACGTTATTCACGATAAAAACAAAAAACTACACACATGTAGCTATTCAGGTCCAAGCGTTTCGTTGAAAACCAAAGACACTTAGGTTATTTAGCCGCAATAAAGAAGCTTAAGGCTTAATCAGAGGTAAAAGAAAATCATTTATGCATCTGTGATCAAATCCTCTTAGAAAACATTTGCCAAAATAAACTACAGAACTAATTACTCAATATGTATGAAACAGACCAGCTTCACAACCTCTAAATGTAGCTAAAGGTGAGACTCAAAGAGGCAAAAAAAATTTGCTCAGTCAAATTGTAGAATACTCCATGCACTGTATAAATTACGCAAAAAGAGAGCAAGAAAAACATCTGTTGTTCAAGTTACTCTAGGGGTCTCTAAAGTCACGTTTCACACTATCACGAGCTCAATCTCTCTGGTCACGAGCTATGAGTCATGTTTGGCCTGTCAACGCTTAATTCAAATCGGACTAATCACAAACTGCGAAAGAAAATAGCCAATCAATAACGCCGACATATATCCATGCTACTCTACGGGATTCGAACACGATATTGTGCACTAATTCGCAGACTCTCTATACAGAAGGTTTAGAGTGTCTGCGACGCAGGCTATAAAACCCAAACGTCTTGCGTCTTTCATAATAAAACCAATGCCAATGGCTTAAGAATATCGCGATAAAAAATCTGACTTACTAACGTTCCTTCTCAAAATTCACAGTTATTGAAAAAGCTATGACGTCATTGAGGGGTATTTTCGTTAGCGAGTCAACATTTTACGAGTTTATTCCTTGCGATTTACTTAAGATGTTTCTTTTCTTCAAGTTTATACACTCGATAAAATTGCGGGCGACATGACTTAGGACTCATGACTTCGGGCGAGATGACTTTCGGGCGACTTGACCGGTTACCTTTTCATACATTTTCTTTAAAAGACTTTCTTGCTGTCGTCTGAACGCTAATTTCATGCTACAAATGTTAAAAAAGTTAAATTGCTTATGATTCGCCAAAAAATGGATTCTCTTTCCTTCGAACTTCTGTCTCGCATGGCTCACATGATGACTCGCATGACTCGCATGACTCACTGGCTCGACTCGCATGACTCGCTGGCTCGCTGGCTCGCAGTTTGTCAAGACCCTCCACAGAATGGGTACGCCAACAAATTAACTGTTTGTGGTTATCCTTACTCCTCCTCTTCCTCCTTTTCAAAGATGGCACCTAGGACGCCGGTTAATGACATTTCTACTGTGGTATAATGTCGCAATCTCTTCTTCCAATTTTTGGGTTTTAGTGTATAGTGCATTAAGCTTGGTTTCCTTACTCTGGATTTTAGTATCGAGCTTTCTTATATGATTGTCCATATATACTATTAGTTAGATAATTCTTGTAAGCCGCTCAGTGGAATCCAAGAATTAAAATCATTACTATAACCCAACCACTTCACGAGAGCTTGTTGCTTCTTATAATTTCTCGGAATGACCTTTTCAATGCCAAATACATCTTGCTTTGCTGGTAGTAATTCAGGCTCATAAAAGCTGCCTTGTATTTCCTCATTATTGAGATCCTTTAATCTGTAGGTAATTGGGTTTGTGGATTGGATTTTATCGATCAGGAATATCTCTTGAGTCCAATTAGGTGTGTACCCTTTATCAAACACCTTTCTCTTGTACTTACTTATCCTAACTTTATCACCAATCCTGAATTTGGGCTTAGATGATAATTGCTCCATATCACCATATAGACTGAAATACACGGTACTTTCATTCTTCTTTTTACTGGCTTCTACAGGTGTCATTTTAATGGAACTGTGTTTGGTATTATTATACTGCTCCAATATTTTTGTTAGTATGTCTAAATATACGGTATTACCCTGGACAGTAAACTGCTTCCACATTTTGGTTTTAATTGTACGGTTCCATCTTGCACAAACACTAGATTTTTCCTCATTCTCGGTTGAGTATAGTTTTATGCCATTCTTTTCTAACAGTTCTTTCATATTTTTGTTATAATATTCTTTTCCTTTGTCAGTCCAAAGATATTGTGGTTTACGGCCCTCTTTGAAGATGGTTTTGAATGCTTCTGTGACAATTTCCCCTTTCTTATCCTTCAATGGGACAATCCAGCCATATTTGGAGAATAGATCTAATACCATTAGAAGATATCTGTAACCCTTGCTCCATTTGCTGAACTGTTGCATTTCAACCAGATCTGAGCACCAAATGTTGTCAATACCGGTTGTAATAACACGCTGCCGAGTAAAGTTGCGCTTTATGGGTGTATGTAATTCGTCCGCTAATTGCTGTCGCCAACTGATACCCGACGGCTTTTCTAGTTTAAACCAAGACCGAGTTTCTTTTTCAATTTAATAGTATTCTTAATAGCTCTTTCTGTTAATGATTGATTTGGAAATTGTTCAATTGCATCTATCATTTTTTGATCCGCTGAATGCTTATCAGATAATGACAGAGCATTACTGTAATCAATATCGTGCTGTTTACAAACTTGATCAAGTTTATTTATTCCCTCATCACCTCGAGCTAATCTTTCCTCTAACCTAGTATTTGGACCGCAATAATTATACTTTTTACCTTTCCATGTTCTCATATGAAATTCAGGAAGCCATTTTTGGTTTAATACATTTTGAATATCCAAAGCACCTCCATCAAGATCTTTCCTGTTTGTTTTGTAGTTTTTCTTTGGTCGTATTTTGGTTGATAATTGGTC